CATCCCTAGCCATTCGATTAGTTTAGTTTTACATTATTATTTGAGAAAATTCTAGAATTAATGCATGAATTTTATAAAATTTATTAACTAAAGTGGTGTTTGATAAAACTGAAAATTAGGTATTGAATATGTTAAGTACCGATTATGTACTCGAATTTTAAGTGCTGAATAATTAAATACCGAATATGTTCTAGATAAGTCGTTTGGTATTTATTGAAAATTAAGTGCTGAATATAATAAGCTTGTTTGATAAGTACTCGTTGTTGAACATATTAAGGCTATACACATGATAAGTTTAACCTTGTAATGGTAATATGATATTTTTTAACACAAATAAAAATATATACATAAATGTGTTTATGTGTATAAATAAATAAATAAATATTCAATAAAAATGATTATTAGAAAAATTTAAACATTGTCTAAGATAACATTAATTGTCGTATCATGCACAAAATAAATGTTGATGACGACTATCTCTCAACCATCCTTTTTGTTTGAAATAATTATATAAATTTGAGAATGCTTCTTTTTTCATTCTCAACAATTTTTTGACAAGTGAGCTAGATTTTCATGAAGAATCTCAAGCATATATGTATGTCCTTTGAGAGTCGAATCCGTATTTGATCTTTTTCCAACACGTCTTCTATTAATGATTTTCAGTATAAGAGCAATACAATAATCCTTATACTCTTTTTATGTCTATCTGTCAACACGTTGATAATTAAAAAAAAGAAGAAGCAAAAGCATGTATCAAAATATGGTTGAGAAATCTAATTAAAGGAAAAACATTCAAATTGGAGTATTTTTATTTAAACTATAATTCTTATGAAAATTCTAGACAATCAAAATGAAACAAATTATTCTAAATTACTAAACACAAATCATAACGAAAAACTTTCAATTAAAACAATGCCAACTTTTTAGCAACCATTTTGATCCATCCAATTCTGACTTTTAATAAAGATTTATCCATTGCTCTTGTATTCATAACATATAAAAAAATTCAAATAAAAAAGACGTCCAAAACTAGTCTAAAATACTCCTAAAATGAACAGCTAAAACGAGTTAAAAGTTTATTGATTCAGTCACATGATCTGCTGAAATTAAAGACATAATCTAAAGATCAAAATACCAATCCAGAACTGTTCCTTTTCTTTGGAATGGGTGGTAGACTACGGGAGCAAAGTGTCCCAGCTGTGAAGGCCTTGGGTATAAAATTTGAGATGTATGTGAACGGAAAACAGCAATTTAGGTATAACAGATGCTTTTTATATATCTGTATGCAAGCCGGTGTTGATCTTACAATAAGAGCCTTGTATTATAGATCTAAAATGCAACATACATAATCAATTAATCAACACCTAATTCTTTATGCAAGCAGTTATAGTCTTGATTCATCACCTTCCCAATCAATTTAAATGGTTACACTCTGCTGGCTTCATCTTCCATTTATCTTTTTGATTTGAATGGCTGGTCCCTAGAATAAGGTTTGGCTCTGCCTATATTTTTTTATTTTTCCCAATCCTGTAGAACATGGGATCAAACAAATGACAGTCCTTTTGTTAACAGGTTAGTTGAGTTTGAAAACAAACGTTAACAAGCTCTCTGAGACTTGCCAAACAGGTGGTTACCATCATCCTAATTTCATTAACTTATTAACCTAGTTATTTGTCAATGAAGTAAACAGATATTGTTTGGGCAGCATTTGCTTCCGTGAGTAGTAAATACGATGGAAGGCCTAAGTGTTTCTATTTTAATTTTATATATTTTTTAAGGTCATGTACTTTTAAATTTTGGTCAATTAAAGGCTTCTATAAGGTGACTTGAACATTAATATATGTGTTGCATAAATAAATTTGGTTTTTATTTTTTTATTTTTTTAAGATAAGAGTATTTTCAAGTTAACAATTATTTAACTGAACGATTTTAAAGACACATCTTTAATATTAGTCATATGCGTTCATAAAAATATAATAAATTTCCTTGATGCTGGGTGGAAAGTTTGAAACAAAAAGTTAATAGGGAAGAAAGCAAACCTCCTCAACTCTCTAGAGTTTGTGGGGATTTTGTTGATAAACATCATTAATTTCTGGTTGTTAAAATATCAATTTTCCTAAAAAGAAAAAAAAATACTCAAATAAAAATTGTAAGAAATTTTAAAAAGGAAGAATATTTAGAAAGATCTTTCTAGAAGGGACGCTACCAAAAGAAATTCAGTTCGGCAAAAAGATTCATCCTTATAAATCTTGTACTTGGACTTGGAATCTAAAATCACTGGATTTGAAAATTGGTTTTGAAGTTTTAAATTTACAACTAAAAGTCCAAAATTCAATTTAAATTATTGTGTTCAATTTATTGTTTAAGGGACCATTTTGGGGACAGTTTGAGGGAAAAGTGAGCGTTCGATGTTGAAGTGTAAGATTCCGGAACGGGGGATCCAGTGTTAAAAGCTGCTGGGATTTTGCTCCGTAAAGTTTTTAAGATACGCTATTGGATCCTTATCTTCAGAACTTAACTTTATTAAGCTCTGAATTTTTATTTTTTTCCTTTATTGATAAAAGATTCAATCTCTTCCTCTCCGTTATTCCAATAAGCTACTGTAGAAAAAGTGTGCTTAGTTGAGAAGGAATAAAATTGCAAGAATCAAAAGTCAAATTGTAAGTGTCGTCAGCTTTGTAACATAAATTATCCTGCCTTTTTTTTCATATTTTTTTCCTTATATTAAAATTAACAATATCTAGGGTACTCTAAATAAATATTTTCTTAATACCACATTATATCAACTTTCATGTGAATTTATATTTTTCCACGCTGTTAATTTTATATGAATGTTGCGTCGGTGTGTGTATATATATATATATATATATCTGGAGTCAAGAATTTTTTATTATAAGTTAGGTAGCACCAGCATAATAAAAGTTAGGCAGCACAAAGGAAAATCTCTTAACATACGGAGCATGTGAAATATTTAACTCGATTAAATGCTGTCTAAAACCATGTGCGAAAAACCGAAAATTGGGACTTTTCTTTCGGTCCAAAAAGGGACAGTAGATCACAGACGGCGCCTGAAATAGACAAACATCTTACATTATACGCACTTTTTGGGTGTGTGTAAGGGAGAACTATGGCTTTACTATAAAAATACTAATAAATCAAACTCTTTCTACGCAAAAGAAACAGTCTATATTTTTATTTATAATTATTCAAAATGTTTGTTTAGTAAAAATTTTAAGTGTTATATTTTCTTATAATATCCTTCATTAAAATTCATTTTATAAAAGATTATTCAAATACATTATTTTAAAATAATATTTTTGAAAAGTATGAATAAAATATGTTGATTTGGCATAAAAATTAATAATTTTTTTAATTTATGTGAAAAGTCAAAAGGTCCAATCTCTCAAGGACGCAGGTATAAATTATAAATATATATAACGGATGTGGTATGAATTATATATATACTTTCTGTCTTAAAAAGATCTTCCCCTTTGACTTTTACACAATTTTTACATAATTTAAAAAAAATAATTCATTTTTATGTTTTATTAGTATTTTTTGTTTATAGTTTTAAAAATCTATTTATCAATTCTAATCCGACATTATATAAAACTAATATTAATTTAAGGAAAAAAATCTATCTAAAATGGTAGATAAAAGAAAAAGCTATTAAGTTAATTAACAATCAAATTTAAAAAAAATTATGAAAATATAAAATACTAATGAAAACATTTTACTCCTAAAATTTCGACATACAATAAAATTCTTACAAAATAAATATTTTTTATGTAACAAAAATTTTTTATTTGAAATTTTTATGTTAAAAGTATTTATATGTATAAAGAAAAAATATAATGAATATTAATTTTTTTTAGTGAGGGACAGAAATAGAAAAAAGAATTGACTTTTTATTTATTTATTTATCAATTTAGGGTATTTTAAAAAAAATATGTTATTTAAAATTTTGATCAGAAAAACATTTTGACAGAAATGTAAATAAAAGGAATACTAATAAATCATTTTCTTTTCCCTAAAGAGATCGTCTGTATTTTTATTTATGTGTTTCAAAATACTTATTTGCTTAAAATTTGAGGTGATGTATTTTTTTAAAATACTCCTAATTAAATTTTATTTTATAAAAAAATATTCGAATATATAATTCATACCATCTTTGTTATATATTTATAATTTATACTACCTCCATCCCAAAAAGTTTGTTCGTTTTAACTTGTTGTTCGTTTTAACTTTTGTACAGATTAAGAAAGTTATTAATATATCTGCTCTCTATCTCAAACAGATCTTATCATACGACTTTTCACACAATTTTTACATAATTTTAAAAAAATTATTATTAATTATTATTTCACATTAGTATTTTTTGTATATACTTTTTTTGATATAAAATTGTTATTTGTCGAATTTAATCTTGCATTACTCAGTAAAAAGAACAAGAAGTCTATGGACGAGGGAACGCAGCCCCTGCAGCCACCTCATCAAGAAGAAGATTACGCAGACCTTCAGGAGGAGAATTAGGATAATCAGATCAACCTCCAAGATAGTCAGCACAGAAAGCAAAAGATAAATATGAATTATATAAGGCAAGTTTGGTTCATTTTTTTCTCTACGCATACCTGCTAATTTATTATATTAATTATATAAGGTAAGTTATCTCATTTTTCCAGCACACAAAACATTTTTTGTCTCACTAATTTACGGGTTTTCAATTTGTGTACGAAAACAAAAATTGAGTTGTCAATGCCATTTTTTTAGAAAGGCCTTTGCACACGTATTCCTTAAAACGTCACCAAAGACGTCCATGAAAATCGTCATCAAATGGCCCAAACAAGTTCGTCACCTCAAACGTCAAGATCGTTGTTTATAAACCATTCTCAACACAACCCATGCACTAACAAAATCCCACGCTCAATTTCAGCAACAAAAAATCCATCCAACTCACTCGCTTTTGTTTTCATACAATTCCAGTAATTAAGATGGGAGTCATGGGAGTACAGCCTCACATCCTCCTTGTCACATTCCCTGCTCAAGGTCACATAAATCCAGCCCTTCAATTTGCCAAACGTTTAGTAGCCATCGGTGCACATGTCACCTTTGCTACAAGCATCGGTGCCGCCCGTCGGATGTCCAGAACCGGAACTTATCCTAAAGGCTTGTCTTTTGCTTCCTTTGATGATGGTTCCGAACATGGGTTCAGACCCAGTGATGATATCGACCACTACTTCACCGAGCTCAGGCGTGTTGGCTCAAAATCTCTGGCTGAACTTATTGCGGCAAGTTCCCAAAAAGAGCGACCTTTTACTTGCGTGGTTTACTCCAATCTTATACCTTGGGTGGCAAAGGTGGCACGGGAACTTCACCTTCCTTCAACACTTCTTTGGAACCAATCTCCTGCCCTTCTAGACATCTTCTACTATTACTTCAATGGCTATGGTGATACCATTAAGGAGAATTTCGACGATCCCTCCTTTTCGTTGAAATTACCCGGATTGCCTCCTCTTGGCAGCCGGGATTTACCCTCATTTTTCAATCCTAGAAATGCACATACTTTTGCAATCCCAGTAAATAGAGAGCATATAGAAGTCCTCGATGAAGAAACCAACCCGAAAGTTCTTGTCAACACCTTTGATGCATTGGAGCGTGAGGCTTTGAATTCAATAGGGAAGTTTAAGTTGGTTGGGGTTGGCCCTCTGATTCCATCAGCCTTTTTGGATGGTAAAGATCCTACTGATACTTCCTTTGGTGGTGATCTTTTTCAAGGCTCAAAGGACTACATAGAATGGCTTAACTCAAAGCCTGAATCCTCTGTGATTTATATATCATTTGGAAGCGTATCTGTTCTGTCAAAGCCTCAAAAGGAACAAATGGCGCGTGCTTTGCTGGATACCAGCCGTCCATTTTTGTGGGTCATAAGAACAGATGGAGGAGAGGAGAAAGAAGAAGATGTTCTGAGTTGCAGAGAAGAGCTTGAAAAGCAAGGAAAGATAGTGCCATGGTGCTCTCAAGTGGAGGTTTTGTCACATCCATCAATAGGCTGTTTCGTGACACACTGCGGTTGGAACTCAACTTTTGAGAGTTTGGCTTCTGGGGTGCCAGTGGTGGCTTTTCCGCAATGGACTGATCAATTGACTAATGCTAAGATGGTTGAAGATGTATGGAAGACAGGTGTGAGAGTCAACGCTAATCAAGAAGGGATAGTTGAAGGCGAGGAGATAGATAAATGCTTGGCGTTGGTCATGGGAGGTGGAGAACGAGGAAAAGAGCTGAGAAAGAATGCTAAGAAGTGGAAGGATTTGGCAAGAGAGAGTTCAAAAGAAGGTGGCTCTTCTTACAAAAATCTGAAGGCTTTTGTTGATGAGATGGGAGGAGTAGCTCCGTCGTTAGAAGTATGAGTTTTTGATTTTTAGGATTCTATCGATCCAGGCAGGATTAGTAGTACCCTTTGAATATTGTTCTTTCTTTTGTTAGTAAAATTAAATTCAAATAAATGGTTAAGATTCTTTTATGTTAAATATTTTTTTAGTGTTTAATTAATCAGATCTTTCTGTCTCTCTCCGAACTGTAAAAACATTTCCAGCTATATTAATTGGCTAAATTTTTGGCCATAAATTTAGAAAATAATTTTCATTATTAAATTAATAATTAAAATTTGACAGATAATTCTTACTTCGCTGGGAGAATGATTTTCATGAGTCAAAGAATTACAAAAATTATACAAATATACTTTAACTGGTTGTGGGTACAGATCAAGGATCACATGCATGAGAGTTGGTGTTGACAGTTGGAACTAATGCTTTGAACCTTGCCTGATTGGTGGACAATTCAAGAGGACAACACCAAACCACCAAGGCTTAGTAGCTAGCTTTGAGAATAGCCAATAACTTGCCAATATTGAGATTTAGCTCAACAAGAATCAATATTGTTACTCTTTCGAGAAGTTTGACTTCCAATATCTCCTTCCTTTATGTATGTATATAAAACAGCCAATAACAATTTTTTCATTAATTGTGGCTTGGATAACATGTATCTGCACGTATATGAGCGTGAAAACATTCTTAATATTCCTTGAATTTGATTATTTGAACTCAAATTTTCAAATATATATATATATATGTTCTAGTCTTAAGATAAACGTGCGTGCCACTAAGTTATTGTACATATGTACTAAAGAAGTATACAATAAGAATTAAGTTTCTTCCATCAGTTGTTCTCTTACTTCTCTTGAAGAAAATCCTTCAAAATTTCCTTTTGTTTTGGTTTTGATATTGAAAATCCTGATTCCAAAAAGGATGTCCATTGCCTACCCCTGTCCACTCAATTGATTGGACCCAGGTCAAAACTTGACCTTTCTTAAGACGCACAACCACCCCCAGATTAACTGTAATGTAATAGAAAATGAGGCATTAGTGCAGTTCATTTTGTGAGTTCCTGGTTTGCTTGATGCTGCACAATGCCGATTCTCTTCGCTTACTAGAATTTGATTTCTTCTCCTCCTTAATTTACATATCCTTGCAGAAAATTTAAAGAGCCCATCCCCAAGCATTGATTTGAAGAGGACTGACGGATTGGTACTAATTACTCACTGTAAGAAAACTGCGAATTAGATCGTCACTAATTCTTAAAAAACCGTTGTTAAATAAAATTAGCAATGGTTTCAAAACCCTTGACAAAATGCTTATTGCTAATTTTTAGTGACGGTTTTTTAAGTCCGTCGCTAATTTAGCTATGAAAAAAAATTATCATTAATTTAATTAAAACCTTCGTAAATTTTCAAGAAAAATTGCAGCTAAAATGACAAAAATTAGCGATGGTTTTTCAAATTGGTTGTTAACATTGTATATTTAGTGACAGTTTTAACCATCGCTAAATTTTTTTTACCCAAATTTTAATTGTTTTAAATTAACCTACTCAAGTTTTATAACTAAAAATATATATTCCAAAATTATTATAATATATAAAATTAAATAAAATTAAATATATATTAAAATATTTAATTAGGGATAAAGTTTAAAGTTTGTTATTATTACATGAAAAAAAAAAAAAAAAGCTACGAATGATCGATAGAGTCATCAATCGAAGGTTGGGTGGAATCGTCAATTAGAGGCTCGATGCATGAATTGCCTTGTTGTATATTCAGCAACATCTCGCTTCATCATTGCATATTGCTCTCGAGTAACACCATCTATTAAATATTGTAAGACCAATTAAATTATTTAAATACAAACAATTACACTTAATTTAATAACCAACTAAATAAAAATTATTAAACACATAATTAATTAAACTAACTCTTAAAAAATTATTTTAAACACAAATTATTAAATTTAGTTATTAGGTAATTGACTTAATCAACAACTAAATAAACTTAATTAACAAACAAATAAATTAAAGTAATAATTAATTATATATGTTATACTACATTTATATAAAATAATTATAAACTAATTTTCTCAATTAACAACCTAATATATTGTTTTAAACAATATTTTTTTAATTAACAAATAATAAATTTACTTAATCAAATTTGAATTAACACCTATATATATAATTAAACTAATAAAAATATAATTAAATGATTTAATTTGCCTCAATTTAATTAATTTATTAAAAATCACTTAATAAATAATTAATAAATCAATCAATTAACTAACACCACCTATTAAATATTGTAAGACCAATTAAATAATTTAAATAAAAACAATATTCACACTTAATTTAATAACCAACTAAATAAAAACCATTAAACACATAATTAATTAAACTTAATCTCAAAATTTTATTTTAAACACAAATTATTAAATTTACTTATTAAATAATTGACTTGATCAACAACTAAATAAACTTAATTAACAAAAAAATAAATTAAAGTAATAATTAATTATATCTATTATACAATATTTATATAATATAATTGTAAACTAATTTTCTCAATTAACAACCAAATATATTATTTTAAACAATATTTTTTTAATTAAAAATAATAAATTTACTTAATTAATTAAATTTGAATTAACACCTACATATATAATCAAACTAACACAAATATAATTAAATAGTTTAATTTAATTTAATTTAATTAATTTTATTAAAAATCACTCAATAAAAAATTAATAAATCAATTAATTAAACTAACAACACCTATTAAATATTGTAAGACCAATTAAATTATTTAAATGAAAAAAATATTCACACTTAATTTAATAACCAAGTAAATAAAAATCATTAAACTAATCATTAATTAAAATTACTCTTAAAAATTTATTTTAAATACAAATTATTAAATTTACTTATTAAGTAATTGAGTTAATCAACAACTAAATAAACTTAATTAACAAACAACTAAATTAAAGTAATAATTAATTATTATTTTATACAATATTTATATAATTTATTTGTAAACTAATTATCTCAATTAACAACCTAATATATTATTTTTTAATTAACAAATAATAAATTTACTTAATTAAAGTTGAATTAACACTTATATATATAATTAAACTAACACGAATATAATTAAATAATTTTAATTGCCTAAAATTTAATTAATTTTATTAAAAATAAGTTAATAAAAAATTAATAGTTTATTTAATTAAATTAACACACCTATTAACTATTTTAAGAGCAATTAAATTATTTAAATACATACGATTATATTTAATTTAATAACCAATTAAATAAAAATTATTAAACACACAATTAATTGGACTAACTCTTACAAAATTATTTAAATATCAACAATTACACTTAATTTAATAACCAACAAATAACAATTACTTATAATTATAAATTAATTAAAACTAGCTAACAATTAATCAATAAATAAAAAAAATAACAATTAACAATTAAATTTTCTAAATACCAACAATTAAACTAACTAATAATTCAATAATAAATAACTAATAACAATAACACAATTAACAATTAACAACAACAATTACATTAACAATTAACTAATAAATAATAAATAATAAACAACAATAACAATTAACAAAAATTAACAACAAAAATTTACACAAAAATTAATAATTGCAATAAATGAAAAAAATGAATTAATGGGTTACCAATACAAAAATTTAAGAATTAGATGATGGAGGAGCTATTGCCAAGAAGGAAAAGGAGCCACAGTTAGTGCTACTTGTCATGGCATTGTTCATAGTGGAGAGGTCAGGTTAAGGGAGGAGGAGGGAAGGGGAAGAAAGCGAGAAGAAAAGGGAGGAAGAAAGAGGGAGAGATGGAGGGAAAGAGGAAAATAAGAGAAATGAGGAGATTTAGAGGAGTTATGTAGATATTAGGCTAGAATAAGAAGAAGAAGAGAGGAAAAAAATTTGGAGAAAAAATTCGAGTCAATGGGTATTTAGGGATTAAAAATTTCAGCAAATGTTTTTAAACCGTTGCTAATTTCAAATTTTGAAATTAGCCTTTTCCCTCAACGAATGGGGTTTGGATTATAAGAATGGGCACGAGTATTCGACTGAGCCAATATTCATGTCTTGTCAATTGAAATGCATTTGAAAGATTGATTTGGAGTGTTTGGAGTAGGATCCGTTAAAATAATACTAAATTTTTATTTCATTTGGCCTTTAATAGTAAGTTGAAGCGAGTTTAGTCTAAAAAAATCAATTCTCTTCAACTTAAATATGATAGTCTAAATATGGATGATGTGATAAGATTCTAACGATCAAAGACCATACTCAAATCACTATAACTACCAACCTCGCATCACTATGAGGAGAAATTTTTATTAATTCTAATTTTTATGATCTCTAACTAAAAATAAATAAATAAATAAAATAAAATAAAATTCTATGAGCTCTTTTTCTCTCAAATCCCTCTCGCTCATATACTATTAGAACAAAGCCTTACTTCACAAGCAACTTCATGTCGTGTCTTCTCCTTGTTAGCAACATCAAGCCCTCTATGCTAAGGACTTCTATACAACCATGATTGATGATTCTACAATTGGAGATAATATTCTACTTGAACAATCGGATAATGATAGCGGTTAAGGATGTAATACTTGTTCTTTATCCAATTACTTGTATTTTGTTTATAGCTAAACTCTTTGTAACGAAATCTTGTAAACATCTATAAAGGTAGAGTAAACTACAATAGTAAATCACAACTAAGGAATATAATTCAAACTTCATATATTCTTTTAACTTCTTATTGTTTCTAATTTGGTATTAGAGCATAAAAGGACTAACAACCATTTCTTTCTACTTTTCTAATACTATTATTTCTTTTATGCATTCTTTGCGGACAAATAATGGTTTATTCTAGCAATACCTCTACCGTCACAAACACATAACTCTCCACATCTCTAAACCTAACTAGTCGGTTATCCAATGCTCATCATTTTATCTTTTTGAAACTTACCTCAACTATTTTTTTTTACTTTAACGTGCTTAAATGAAACCATTTCTACTTAGGCAAAGTCTATTCGGCCTTGTTGATGGTTCAAATGTTTGCCCTCCCGAGTCACATTACCTCGACATACACTAATTTGCCTCGGGTAAATCCTTCTTATCATATTTGGATTAAGCAAGATCAATTGCTCATGAGCACCTTAATTGACTATCTCTCCACCGATGCATCATTGATCGCTCTACTTCACTTGAAGTATGGACGGTACTAGAACATGCTCTTCTCTTTCTAGCACATGTATTATAACATTGCACATTGCTTTGCAAAATTTGCTTTAGAAACTAATGAACTTATCTCTCACTACCTTCAACATGTCAAATCCAATAGTGATGAACCCACTCGTTATTGGGTGTCCTCCCCGGATCGTTGACTTTAATTTATACAAATTCAAAAGCTTACGTTTAATTTAAAGATGTTGTCATCACTTTGTCTATAAGATCGAACCAATTAGTTTTACCAAACTATAAAGTCTTCTTCTTATTCCTAAATTTTTTAATATAGAATTTGATTCCTCCTTTATGGCTCCAAGCTCTAGTCTATTACCAACTCTACCCATTGCTCATTTTACTAAGAGCACATATGACACTTTTCCACTTGGTGGGGGTCGGCTTTTTTATGGCAAGGGTCATTGTTGCTACACAAACAAGAACAATATAAACTTTGCCATTGATACTAAAGGGCACTTCTGAAGCCATAAGGTAGTTGGACTCAAATATAGAATAAAATCCGATGCTAACTTTGCACTTCTTGAAGCCATAAGGGCTTACATTGTCCTCAAACGTATTTTCAACCTTCCACTCCGACTAATTTGGTAGTTTTTTCCCCTAATCAATCTTCTACTATGCCACTCTAGTCTTAGTGCTCGGACACTAGTACTTCATACTATGTAACTCATGTTCAGTCGCCCTTAGCACTCTACTAAACCATATCAAAAACCCGATCAACTACAATTTAGAAATGGACTAGGTTCAAAAGAAAACACTCTTTTTCGAGGCTTAGTCATGTTAATCTTTATGTCTTGCCCACCTTTCCACATCTTTTCGATCCTTAGGTATCACAAAAACATCATATAAAATTTGGCACTCTTGATTAGGTCACCCACACAATCGAGTGCTCCATATTATTTTAAAAAATGTTGGTTTGTCAAAGTCTTCTAGGTTGTCCGCACGTTGCTTGTCTTGTCCATTAGGGAAGCAAGTCGGCTTTCTTTAAATTCTTATACTCATTCAAGTACATGATTTTTAAACTTAATTTTTAGTGATGTATGGGGCTTTTATCTACTACTCTATAGTGGATTGTCACAAATATTATGTATTATTTATTTATTACTTTTTAAAATTCATTTGTTATTATTCTATTTATAAAAAGTGATGTTTTTAATTTTTTTCCAATTCAAAGCTCTAGTTGAATGTCACTTTAATTACAAAATTAAACAATTTCAAAAAAACTAGGTGGTGAATTTCGTCATTTAAATATATTTTTTAAAATTAATGGTCTTTACTATCACATCTTATGCCAATATACACTCGAATAAAATAAGACTTTTGAAAAACAAAATTGTCATATTGTTAAAACTGGTTTAACAATATTGGGAGAGAGAATTATACCTCGATCATACTCGTCATTTTGCTTTTGAAACTCGTTATTTTTATCAAGCAAATACTTTTTTTTTTTTTTTTTGTAATAATGATCTCCGAAAAATTTTGTAATACTCAAGGAGTAACTAGTAGCGTGTATAGTGATTACTCCATGAATTCACTTGGAGGAGAGAGATAGACATATAAAATTACATCCGGACTCACCAAAAGTGATAAGAAGATTTTTATGTTCGCTCAATTTTTTAAAAACATTTTCTCTCTTTTATTTCTCTCTCCTTTTTTGTGTCTATCTCTTTCATTCAAGTTGATCTATGGAATAACTACTGTACATATTACTAGTTACTTCTGAGTATTATAAAATTTCTCAATTATCTCCTTCTAAAATTATTTATAGACACAAACCATATTATTCATTTCTTAAATTTTTGGGTGCTTATGCTTTTCTTATTTAAGACCTTACAACAAAAAACAAAATGGATTTCGATCCACTTTGTGTGTCTTCCTCGACTATAGTTCTTCTCGTCTACGTTATCGGTGTCTAGACAATAAAACGAATAGTTTTTACTTCTTTCGTCATGTTTTTACTTCTTTTCCATCTCTTCGAGCGACTCCTTACGTCTAACCTACAGCCCAAGTAATTCCAAATTCTAGCCCACCAATATTTCCTTGTCTCACTCAATCCCCTCTCTTATTTCGGCATCGCATTCTCATCTAGCATAATTGGCCCACAGCCCATTTCCCCATTCCCTCTCTCGTCCAGGCCCTTAGTCCATTTCATGCCCATCCCGCTCGTACAGACCTATCCAACTCTCCTAGTCTTAGTATCTCTTCCACATCGATAACCACAACCCACGGCCTAGACCCCATAACTTACCACATCACTCATTTCACCTCATTTCATAAGAAGACATAATTCTACCATACCTGTCTCACCAGATATATATATATATATATTTCCCCATCCAACTCTTTTAGTCCTAGTATCTCTTCCAGCCTGACAACCACGATCCATATCCTAAACCCCATAACCTCGCGCGTTCTGCCCCATCCTTCATTTTCGCCTTACTTAACACCAAGAAAAAATTCTATTACACCAATCTTACTAGCTATACATATTTCCCTGTCCCTTTCTGCCAGAACTTCACCTCACCTATATCACCTTTTTTATCCCACCTCCTCGACTAATACCTTATAGTAGCAGGCTGGCTTAAATCTTGTTCTTGATTAAAATTCCTACAACAATTAATAATTTTATGTAACAAACAAATTTTCTTTGAAATGTTTATATTAAAAAGTATTTGTATGCATAAAAAATATAAAAAATATTGATGTTTTGTTAATAAAGAATAGAAGATAGAAGAAAGAATTGATTTTTTTATCAATTAAGAATATTTTTTTAAAAAAATTATTATTTAAAATTTAGATCAAGAAAAAAAACATTTTAACAAAAATATAAATAAAAAAAATCTAGTTAAGACAGATAAAAATATTTCTCTTGATACTAAATTATGAAGATTACGCAGCCACATCATCAAGAAGAAGATTGCGCAGACCTTCAGGAGAAGAATCAAGATAATCAGATCCATTTTTCCAGCACACAAAACATTTGTCGTCTTACGAATTTTTGGGTTTTCAATTTGTGTACGAAAACAAAAATTGAGTTGTCAATTCCGTCTTGTTATAGAAAGGCCTCGAACTCCTTGCCAAAAACGGGCCAAGTAAATCCATCACCGCAAACGTCATGATTTCTGTGAAATGGTTGTTCATAAAGCCATTCTCAACACACCCTATGTACTCACAAGATCCCACACTCAATTTCAGCAACAAAAATCCATCCAACTCACTCACTTTTATTTTCATACAATTCCAGTAATTAAGATGGTAGTCATGGGAGTACAGCCTCAAATCCTCCTTGTCACATTCCCTGCTCAAGGTCACATAAATCCAGCCCTTCAATTTGCCAAACGTTTAGTAGCCCTTGGTACACATGTCACCTTTGCTACAAGCATCAGTGCCCGACGTCGGATGTCCAAAACCGGAACTTATCCACAAGGCTTGTCTTTTGCTTCCTTTGATGATGGTTCGGAACATGGGTTCAGACCCAGTGATGATATCGACCACTACTTCACCGAGCTCAGGCGTGTTGGCTCAAAATCTCTGGCTGAACTTATTGTGGCAAGTTCCAAAAAAGGGCGACCATTTACGCGCGTGGTTTACTCCAATCTTATACCTTGGGTGGCAAAGGTGGCACAGGAACTTCACCTTCCTTCAACACTTCTTTGGAACCAATCTCCTGCCCTTCTAGACATCTTCTACTATTACTTCAATGGCTATGGTGATACTATTAAGGAGAATATCGACGATCCCTCGTTTTCGTTGAAATTACCCGGATTGCCTCCTCTTGGCAGCCGGGATTTACCTTCATTTTTCAATCCTAGAAACGCACATGCTTTTGCAATCCCAGTAAACAGAGAGCATATAGAAGTCCTGGATGAAGAAACCAACCCGAAAGTTCTTGTCAACACCTTTGATGCATTGGAGTGTGAGGCTTTGAATTCAATAGGGAAGTTTAAGTTGGTTGGGGTTGGCCCTCTGATTCCATCAGCCTTTTTAGATGGAAAAGATCCTACTGATACTTCCTTTGGTGGTGATCTTTTTCAAGGCTCAAAGGACTACATAGAATGGCTTAACTCAAAGCCTGAATCCTCTGTGATTTATATATCATTTGGAAGCATATCTGTTCTGTCAAAACCACAAAAGGAACAAATGGCGCGTGCTTTGCTGGGTACCGGCCGTCCATTTTTGTGGGTCATAAGAGCAGATGGAGGAGAGGAGAAAGAAGAAGATATGCTGAGTTGCAGAGAAGAGCTTGAAAAGCAAGGAAAGATAGTGTCATGGTGCTCTCAAGTGGAGGTTTTGTCACATCCATCAATAGGATGTTTCGTGACACATTGCGGTTGGAACTCAACTTCTGACAGTTTGGCTTCTGGGGTGCCAGTGGTGGCTTTTCCGCAATGGACTGATCAATTGACTAATGCTAAGATGGTTGAAGATGTATGGAAAACAGGGGTGAGAGTCAATGCTAATCAAGAAGGGATAGTTGAGGGCGAGGAGATAGAGAAATGCTTGGAGTTGGTCATGGGAGGTGGAGAACGAGGAAAAGAGTTGAGAAAGAATGCTAAGAAATGGAAGGATTTGGCAAGAGAAAGTTCAAAAGAAGGTGGCTCTTCTTACAAAAATCTGAAGGCTTTTGTCGATGAGATGGAAGGAGTAGCTATCTCGTCAGAAATATGAGTTTTTTTATTTTTAGGATTCTACCGATCAAGGCAGGATTAGTACCCTTTGAATATTGTTCTTTCCTTTGTTTGTAAAATTAAATTCAAATAAATTGTTATGATTCTTTCATGTTAAATATTTTTTTAGTGTTTAATGAATCAAATCTTTCTGCTTCTCTCCGAATAGTAAAAACATTTCCAACTATATTAATTGGCTAAATTTTTTGCCAAAAATTTAGAAAATAATTTTCATAATTAAATAAATAATTAAAATTTGACAGATAATTCTTAGTTCAATAATTTTCATAACTAAATAAATAATTAAAATTTGACAGATGATTCTTAGTTCGCTGGGAGAATGATTTTCCATATTTTTATAAATAGTTAAAATTTTACAGACAAACTCTTTTTCTTTACTTTATTTTCTAGATTTATTCATGGTCATGACTCGAAGAATTACAAAAATTATACAAATATACTTTAACCGCTTGTGGATACAGACCAAGGATCACAATTATAGAGTTGGTGTTAACACTTGGCACCAATGATTTGAACCTTGCTTGAGTGGTGGACAATCCCACAGGACAGCACCAAACCGCCAAGGCCGAGTAGATTTGGTACACGAATGAGAATAGCCAATAACATGCCAATATTGAGATTTAGCTTGTTACTCTTTCCAGAAGGTTCGACTTCCAAATATCTCCCTCGTTAATATATGTATATAAAACAGGCAATAACATTTTTTTTCCTCTTCTAATTGTTATAGAGAAAGATAAATGTGGAATGCCACTAAGTTATTATACATATGGAGTAAAGAAGTGTACAATATGAATTAAGTTTCTTCTATCAGTCATTCTCTTACTTTTCTAGAAGAAAATCCAACAAAATTTCCTTTTTTTTTTTTTTTTATATTGAGAATCCTAGAAATATGTATTTCTATCTATATAATCCAACTCTCCCCAGTGATACCAACAACGATGTCTACTGGTGTGGTTGATTGTACCTGGGTCATAACTTGATCTTTCTTAAGACGCACAACCACCCCCAGATTAACTGTAATTTAATTGAAAATGAGGCACCAGTACAGTTCATTTTGTGAGTTCCTGATCTGCTTGATGCCACCCAATGCCGGTGCTCTTCATCTACTAGAATTTGATTTCTTCTCCTCTATTTACATATCCTTGAAGAAAATTTAGAGAGCCCATCCCCAAGCATTGATTTGAAGAGGACTGAAGGATCGGTACTAATTACCCTCAATTTCCTTCAAATTATTGTGAAAGATTTATTTTATTGGCAATTGATTTGTTTATATAATTAATTTTTTTTTTGAAGAAGATTAAATATTTGTATTTTTTCAGAAAGGTTTTAAATATTTGTGTATATTCTCATGTTTTCCTAAAATTAGTTAAGTTCGCTATATTTTTTTTTATTATATGCTAATTCATGGTTTTTTTTTTCTATATATATATAGACTTCACAATAAATTAATTGAATTGAGAATGAGTCTCACTCAACTAAGAAAAATAGACACGGATATTCTAACAAGATTAGTGTTCATATTTTGCCAATTGAAATGCATACCAATCTCATATCATTCGAGTGTCACACGAGTAATCTCTCGGTGATCGCAAAAGAATATAAAATATATATGTGTGGAGTTGCCACTTATTTTTCAAAAGGTGAAAAACTAAGAAAAAACTAGTATTAATCTTAAAAGTTCAAAGTAAGGACGTTGATTACAAAGTCGGGGAAGACTACGGTAATCCTAGTATGCCCGCTCAATGAGGTTATCCTATATTTCTAGTTTAAGAGAATTCATTCATGTAAATTACCTTTTTATCTTGATTTACATATTTGATTATTTGAGCTTTTTTCGACCAATCTTATGAAATTATTTGGAGACCGAAAGAAGATTTATCTCTCACCTAAAATGTTATTAGCCGTTGGAACCCTTTTGGAAAAGTAAAAGTTAGGACTTAAAACCCATTGTAAAAATTAAACGATCCAAATCCCATACAAAATTGATAAAAAAATAAAATTAACCTAGGCCATAAACCCAAATTCACCTTGCAAACAATGAAATAACAAAATAATTACAAATCCATAATAATAATAATAATAAAGAGCATGGGCCTCAAGCCCATATTATCTTGTCATGCCACCTTAAAATATTAAATTAGGTATGTTAATACCTAATTTTTTACTTCCTATTTATTTTCTTTAAATTCTTGGTAAAGACAAAAGAAATCAAAAGAAAAAAAAGTGTGCAATTCAAAATAAGTGATTAAAATTAGTTTTGGGGGTCCAATTAAAAGAAATAGGAAGTTTGAGAATCAAGAGAAACTCAATTGATGGTATAATTAAAAAACTCCAAACCCCTAAATAAAGAAAAGAATGATACAATTAGAAGGAATTTAAAAGAAAAAATTCTAATTAATTGTAATTTAAGGATGCTATTGAAATTCAAACAATTAGAATAACACATAAATTAATGAATTAGGAGAAATCGGAGACCAAATTCGACCTTTGTCTAAAAAACCCTAAAATCAACCTATAAATACCCCATCTCTAATTTTTTAATACATTTTACTATTCATCCACCTCCCACAATAAAGACTTGCAATCGAACCTCCCTTTCCCGGAATCGAATTTATGTCCCCTTCACCTGCTACGCCAATAGCTGCCATCCTCTCCGACCTCCATCGACTCCGGCCCATCATCACATCATGCTCCCGATGTAACACCCCAACCTAGGACCTAAAGGGTTGAGAATGTTATCGCCATTAACCCACATTCAAAGTGCAATGAATGCAAGCTAATAAGGTACTCTAACTTAATCTTAATGTCTAAAGTGAAATCTATGTTTTAGAAATCTAATATTGATCGGGTAGATCCTATACTTTAACTTAAGAGACGTTATAAATTTTTCGCGTTTGATCTATTTGTTCGCATACTTGGAACTGGATTACTAGATTCATGGTTATTTGCTAGTTCAAATCTCTTCTTTATTAATAATTGCAATTCATTAAGATATAGTTCCTTATTATCAACTATTATTATATTATTTATTTTCTTTCCTATTTACTATTCTTTTTCTTTAACGGGTAATTAAGGGATTTTCTTAAACATTCAAGGATGCTAGCATACGGTGAACAATTTAAAGTAACTACATTATTATCGGTACATTATCATTTTACTATCGGTACTTCGATTACATACGGGTTACTAATTTACATACAAAACTACTCATATGCCAACTATTATAAAATTGGCTTATTTACTAACTACATTATTTTAAAGTACTACACTTACTTTATTCGTTGCTTCTAATATAACATAACACAATCCGGCTAGTTCTAGGACATGCAAGACAATAGCTAGTACCGTAAATAAAATCACATGTAGTATGTCCACCGGAACTCGAAGCCTCATCCAAGGTATAACCATCCGGTGCGTTCATCGAAATCAACTCTATAGATAATTAAGCCATAATATTTTATTTGTTTACACCACAAGGCACTCGTGTGAGCTACAACCCAGTAAGTTAACGTATGCATGTATATGTATGTATAAAATATTGATATATCCATAATAAATCCTTTTTCTCATGCCATAAAACATTTTATAAACAATTTGAAAATTCTTTTTTTGTCTTTGGACATGTCCCATTTAGATACTTCGGGGTTTTCATAACATATTTCGGCGAACCAAACCTATCCACAAACGCGCCCTACCGAGCCTCTAAAAGTGCACGTCCGCACTTGCTCGACTACGAACCATTACCATTACCATATGGAAAACCAATGAATCCCATCCTCATAAAAATCCTCAAGTTATGAAAATCCTTTTCTTTAAAATAATTCCGATCGATATCGAAAACTCATAGCATAAAATATGTTTTCATGACTTAAAACATTATTCATGAACTTTGGCATGCATGTGCATTTTGAAGGATAATGCATGCTAACAATGATACCCAAGTGCCCTAAAGGGTCATGTAACCATGTTATGAAAACACGTATAAAATCGAACGAGTATAACGACATAAGTAACATCAATCCATATCAAGCAATACAACCATCATTGGCGCATCAATTACCATAACCACAATTATCATCACCAATCACAACTTAAGCATAACCATCATTCATTAATCATTGCATCACATACATTATTGGAAAGAAAATAAGATCATAACATAAGAGTAAGTAAACAATTATATTTCATTTTAGTTTTATTAACTTACTCTACATTTTAACATTTCTAAGTTATTTCCCATAGGTTCCTAACTAACCTTTCACATCTAACCCTTACCAAATTAGGTACTAATCCATGTTCTAACTTAATTAGGTATTATTTCATTGATTATGTGGTCCAATTTTGGTTTGGGCCTTAATGGGCCTAAGGTCCAATTTTTTCTAAATCAATTTTTCTTTAAATTTTCATGAATTATTTTATTCTAAACCATCCTTTTACATTATTTTGAGATTGAATGGACTAATTTAGGGTATGGAACTTAATTTAAACTTGATTCCCAAAATTCCTCATTTAGGCCAAATATTTCACTATTTAAATTCCTAAGATTTTCTTCTCATTTTGCCCTACCATTTTAATACTAAGTAGCCTAAATATGTACTCAATATAAGAATCAATTTAATTAAAATTTAGAACCCTAATTCCTATCCAAACCCGTATTGGGCCCTAATGGGCCGAAATTGGGCCCAAGCCCATATAACCCATTTTCTTCAATTTTTAGCAAATTTTCCATTTCTACTCATAAAAAAAATGCTTATTCAAGTGTGAATAACCCATCAAACCAGAATCATATTGCTTTGAACTCAAACCCTAATTTGCTTAGTTTAGGTCGAATATAATTCCTAAAAATTAGTAGATTTTTCTTCAATTAAAGTGTAATTTTTCATTCCTAAACATTAGTTCATGCTCAAATAAGTCATAATCAAGTGCCAAAACACCAATTAAATGAAGGAATTCAAAACCCCCAAATTTGGTTCATTAAGAACCCTAACCCTAACTTTTCTTAATTGAGCAATTAAATCAAAATCAAGCAATTAAACATGAAATTGACTTGAAATTAAACATTATTGTGGTCTAGGTGACGTTAACCTACATGATTAAGCTCTACATTAACCTTGAAAAGGTAGGTTGCTTGAAAATTCTGTTCCTCCCCTTTTTCTCCATAAATTTGAATTAGCTCTTTTAATTTTCTTCTTGAAGTTATTCAGCTCCCAACTAAAAATTGAAGCATAATCCACTGATTTAGAGGGTCTAAAATTGGTTAGGATTATTTTGGGTAATTTTTGAGTGAAAACTTTGCAAGAGTTTTCTTTGTGTTTTTTAATTCTCCTTCCCTTTTTATTTTTTCCAGCACCCTTATTGATAGGAAAATTTTTGGACTTCTTGAACTCACAACCACCCTTAATTTGGGTAAATCTCAGCCCTTAATTCAATTTCCAATCAATTCTTTTTATTTGGCTAAATTTTTAGCCATTTGTTCTTCTTTTTGTTTAAGCCTTTCATTTATCCTAATTTCAGCCACAAAATTT